TAGAAGAGGTAGAAGCCTTGGATTCAATTACATGATTTGAACTAATTCTTCTCACACCCCAGAAGAGTAGCCTAAACCACTAGGGTACTTGGGTGTTTCTCAGGCATGGGGGGGAAGGGGGCACATAGAATCATAGAAAATTAGGGTTAGAAGCAGGGGAAGGGCTCTCAAATTACTCCTGCTGCAACTCTTCCACTTTATATGGAGTAACTGGGTATTTACTGGTCCAAGGTTCCAGCCTGTACATCCTGCTTGCAATTACAACCAGAGCTGCAAATTGTAATAGAGCCCCACACACCTGTCAAAACCCTTCACACTGCTATTTTTTGGAGAGGGTTTTTTGTTTATTTTGTTTTTGTTTTAATTAAAAAAAACAAAAACAAAAACCAATACCACACACCACTCAAAGCTTTGGCTTTCCTGGGAATAGGCACATCAATCACCATGGCCTCCATCAAACTAGGCTTGGTTCCCCTGGCATTTTTCCTGCACTCTCATTTGGAAAATGTCTTCTTCACTGGCTATTCAGCATTGCTAAGTGCAGAGCAGCTGTTAGGGATGAGTACAACCTTGGTGAGGTGTTCCACCTACAGATCTACCATGTATTAAAGCTGTCCACATGGCAAAATAGATTCTGCAAAATCTCTGCTTCCCATGTGATCAAGGTCAACAAGTGCAGACATCTTCCAGAGGCTGCAGCCAGCGTAAAACAGTGATTGATATATGAGAACTCCCAATCTGCCTAGAGCCAATTTAGGACACTAAGTGTCAAGTTGATAATTTTAATGGTTGAGCATTTGTCAGATGAGCTCAGGAATTACTGAAGGAAGAAAAGTACACAGGGGAGGCAAGGGGCAAAATGAATCAAGGGACAGGAACAAGAGGGAGAAAATTTCCCTCTGAGTGAGGCTGAATGGGACAATGAAATAAGGAGTGCTGGTAACTTCATAGTCCAGAGGCTGAGAGGAGCTTTCTGGTGTAGAGCTGATTTTTCCTGAAGTTCAGTAAAATATATTGCACATTGAAGACTGTCTTCAAAAGGGCTGTGCCCTATCCAGACGAGGTAAGGGAAATGCTGAAGAGGACAGCACCGAGCACAAGTGGCCACAGGTAAGTGGTGCTCAGGCTCACAGCAGGGACATGGCAGCAGGAGAAGCCTGGTTTCATCGCCCGGTGGCAGTCGCCTGCTGCTGCAGCAGCCACGCAGGGAGGCAGAGCTCAGCGGCCCAGTGTGGTGAGACCCCCCCCCCCCGCCCCCTCCCCCACCCCCACTAGCAGCCACAAGGAGCACTGCAAAGGCCACTCCACCTTGCTGCTGTGATGATGTGCGGCTGCTACTGGGCGATGAAGTCACCGCCCCCCCCCGCCCCCCCCGCCCCTGCCATAAAACCTGAGCCCGAGCACCACTTACCCGTGGTTGTTTGTGCTCGGCACCATCCCTGCACCAGGCCAAGGTGCCTGTGGCGGCCAGAAACAGCAGCAGGTGCAGGGCTGGCAGCA